CAGCTGAGAGAGGCAGAAAGGCTATAAAGGTAAGGGCTGTTTCTCAGGTAAGTAACATACCATAGAGCCAAAACTTCCATAAGTCATGCCAGGATAGTTCAGGAGCTCTTGCCTGCCAGTGAAATGCCTTTACCATGGTATATTACACAGCCTCTTATTACTGTGACAAAATGTCATAGCCACTTAATAGTTGGAGACTGGTATCTTATCCTTAATTTATTTCAAAGGGCTCAGTTCATGAACCCCAGCTCCATTGCTTTTGGATCTATGGCAAAGCAGTACGTAGTGGCAGGGAGCCAATGGCAGAGCCAGCTGGGAAGCAAGAGAGAGGAAGCTAGGGTTCCAACATCCCCTTCCAGTGCATATATCAATGACTTAATTTCCTTCCATTCGGACCCACCCCCTAAAAGATTCTAGCAACCAATGAGCTCATTAGCTGAGAACAAAGACTTCTAACATAAGACCCATTGGGACACACTTAAGATCCAACTCAATACCTGGAGAACCAAGAAAGCTCATCATTATTTTCAGTCACCAGTCCAGGCTGCCATTTAGCTAAGAAAAAATAGCTACACTTGAGAGCAGTTTAAGATAGTGGTTGATCATTTGCTTGCTTCCAGTCCATAGCACTAGAAATGTTAATTACAGATAAGTAGATAACAAGGAGGGTAAACCTGTGACTCTACACTCATTTTAATGAGTATTATTATCCTTTAAAAATTCTTACTTTGGCAATTACACACTAATCAAAGGGGGTGTTCTTATGTAGAACTTGCAAGGAAGGCTCAAACCTCTGTCTTTGAAAACTGAATCAAAAAAAGAGCTCAAAGCCGGGTGCTGGTGACTCACACTTGTAATCCTAGTTACTCAGGAGGTTGAGATCTGAGGATGGTGGTTCAAAGCCAGCCCAGGCAGGAAAGTCCGTGAGACTCTTATCTCCAATAAACCACTAGAAAACCAGAAGTGGCACTGTGGTTCAAGTGGTAGAGGGCTTGCCTTGAGCTGAAGAGTGCAGGGACAGCGCCTCAGCCCAGAGTTCAGGCCCCACAACCAACAACAACAAAAAAGAGTTCAAAGCCCAATTTCTCCCCCTTAGCACGTTACCCCTTACACTTGAGCCACACACCTCAAGACTTCAGAGCCTAATCTTGAGTTCAGATCATGTCTTTATTTCTGGTAGCAGTGTTCCTTTTGCTCATATTTCCCTGAATGATCCCTTGGAACAGTTAAGAGGCAAGCTAAGAAACCCAAGCTGATTCTTTGTTTTTGAGACAGTCTTGCAATGTAGCCCAGGCTGGCCTCTCAGGTAGAGCTGGGATCATAGATGTACACTATCAGATTTCTGGCATCTTTATCAGTGATTGCTCAATCAGAAGCCCATGTGTTTGCTCCCTCAAAACCTCCCAGGAAGCCAGGCGCAGGTGGCTCACACTTGTAATCCTAGCTTCTCAGGAGGTTGAGATGTGAGGATCATGGTTCAAAGCCAGCCGAGGCAGGAAAGGTCCATGAGACTCTGTTCAATAAACCACTGGACAACTGGAAGTGGTGCTGCGGCTCAAGTGGCAGAGTGCTAGCCTTGAGCTGGAGAGCTGAGGGACAGCACCCAGGCCCAGAGTTCAAGCCCCAAAACTGACCATAAAAACAACAACAAACAAACCTCCTCCCAGGATCCCATTAGTATGCAGTGAAGTATAATTTTGAAGCAAGTAACAGTGAGGGACCCCTAATATCAACTTCTATCTCAACAGCTACTTGAAGAGGATAAAACCCTAAGGTCACAGGCTGATGCCTGAGGGCCTTGACATCTGATATCCTTGTTTTTTTATTGTCTGGATGGTACGTGGATGAGAGAGCTAGTCTACTCCATCCTTACCCCTAATATAAGCATTTAGGACCAGATCTGTAACAAGACTGGTGGAGACCTGTGTTTACTACCCAGTATCAGAAGAGAAAAAAAAAGTGATAGGGAGCTGGGCACAGTGACCCGTGTTTATAGTTCCAGGTACTCTGGAGAATGAGGGACAATTGCTTAATGAGCCTAGGAGTTTGAAGCCAGTCTGGACAATATAGCAAAGACCCACTTAAAAAAAAAAAAAAAAAAGGCCAGGGTAGGAGGGAGTGTTGGGGAACTAGGGATATAAATGAGGCTTGAAGGACTTGGAATTCACTTCACTTCCAAAGTGAATTGATCTTTTCTGCAAAAAGATCCAAAGGAGGATGGGAGGAGCTGGCAGGTCATTTGGAATGTGGCCTGACCATGAACAAGGAAGTTCTTTCATAGCTCAGGAGAAGGGACTGCTGCATGCTGGCAAGAAGGGAATATCATAAAATCCACAAAGGCCTTCTGTGATATATACATTGCTGGAAAGTCTGGCTGGAAAACAGGAACAAGGCCAAGATTCCACAGAGGCCACAGCCCAGGCCAAGTCTGCCTCGCATCTCCTGTCACCATTCTTGGAGCATGTTCCAGAGAACAGGAGCCCTGTGGTAACACACCAACAACCTAAGAGTAAGGTGATGTGTTGGGCTGGGAAGGTGGTTCAGTGGTAGAGCACTTGCCTTGTATGCATGAGGTTCTGGGTTCAATTCCTCAGCACCACATAAGCAGAAAAAAAAAAGCCAGAAGTGGCACTGTGGCTCAAGTGGTAGAGCGCTAGCCTTGAGCTGAAGAGCTAAGGGACAGCGCCCAGGCCCAGAGTTCAGACCCACGAATGGACTCCCTCCTCCCCTCCCCCCCCAAATAAGATGATGTGGTTTTTTTTGTCAGCCGTGGGGCTTGAACTCAGGGCCTGGGTGCTTGTCCCTGAGCTGTTTTGTTCAAGGCTAGCATTCTACCACTTTAAGCCACAGTGCCACTTCTGGCTTTCTGGTGGTTAATTGGAGATAGTCTTACAGGGGCTGAGAAGGTGGCTCAGTGGTAGAGTGCTTGCCTTGCATGCATGAAGCCCTGGGTTCAATTCCTCAGCACCACATAATCAGAAAAAGCCAGAAGGGGTGCTGTGGCTCAATTGGTAGAGCCTTAAGCTGAAGAGCTGAGGGACAGCACCCAGGCCCAGAGTTCAAGCCCCACAACTGACCAAAAATAAAAAAAAATGTCTTACAGACTTTCCTGCCTAGGCTGGCTTTGAACCATGATCCTCAGATCTCAGACTCCTGAGGATTACAGGTGTGAACCACCAGCACCTGGGTCTATCCTATTTTGTTGTTGTTGTTGGTCATGAGGCTCGAACTCTGGGCTTGGGTGTTGTCCCTCAGTTCTTCAACTGAAGGCGAGTGCTCTAATACTTGAGCCACAGCATCACTTCCAGTTTTCTGGTGGTTTATTGGAGATAGTCTCATGGACTTTCCTGCCTGGGCTGGCTCTGAACCAGATCTCAGCCTCCTGAGTAGTTAGGATTACAGGCATGAGCCACCGGCACTGGCTATCCTATTCTTTAAATCCCTCAAACATTAGAACACTGTGCAAATACAAATGCTGTTTAGGACTTGGTATTCTAAACTCATTTAAAAGGTTAGCTGCAGTCTCTGTTCAAATCTAACTGTTCTTCTAGAAAACCCTCTCAAATTTTGTTTTCACTCCCCCTTTCTGTCTCATAACCTTTGACCAAACAGATCATCATGAGTTACGTTTTTTTCTTTTTTTGCCAGTCTTGGGGCTTCAAATCAGGGCTTTGGGCACTGTCCCTGAGCTTCTTTTGCTCTAGGCTAGCACTTTACCACTTAAGCCACAGCGCCACTTCTGGCTTTTTCTGTGTATGTGGGCAGTGAGGAATCAAACTGAGGGCTTCATGCATGCTAGGCAAGCACTCTTCCACTAAGCCACATTCCCAGCCCAATGAGTCATGTTCTGAACCAGTCTAAGGCAAGTTTGAAGAGTAGTTGTGACCTTGCTCTGGAAAGGAACAAGTGCCATGTGGCAGAGGAATAAGCACTGCCTTGCCAGGCTCAAGTGGCAGAGCATCCAGACATCGATGATGGCATGAAGGTGCTATACCCAGTAGTCTGCCTCTTTTAGCTATAGCTTCAATCAGGCATCACTCTCTGTAGCCACCATGCCCTCACCTTATAAACAGCAGTGAAGAGCTACAGTTCCAACTGCAAAAATACGGCATGTTTCCCAGGGCACAGCACAGCCACTCTTGGTCATTCTTGGGGGAATATCCACTGAAGTAGGCAAAGCCTATCATTAACCTTGATTTATGTCAGAGGAACTGGTTGGCTGGTACAAATGCAGACTCAGAGCAAAGCATCTCTCCATTTTTAGCCACTCAATTTTTTTCTTCCAGGTACTATACTACTTCCCTTGGATGTAGACATTTTCTTTTTTTTTTTTTTGTCGGTCATGGGGCTTGAACTCTGGGCTTGGGCACTGTCCCTGTGCTCTTCAGGTCAAGGCAAGTACTCTACCACTTGAGCCACAGTACCACTTCTGGTTTTCTAGTGGTTTATTGGAAATAAGAGTCTTACGAGCCAGGTACCGGTGGCTCACACCTGTAATCCTAGCTACTCAAGAGAGATCTGAGGATCACGGTTCAAAGCCAGCCTGGGCAGGAAACTCCGTGAAACTCTTATCTCCAATAAACCAGCAGAAAACCAGAAGTGGCACTGTAGCTCAAGTGGTAGAGCACTAGCATTGAGCTGAAGAGCTGAGGGACAGCGCTCAGGCCCAGAGTTCAAGGCCCATGACCGACCAAAAAAAAAAAAGTCTCACAGACTTTGCTGCCTGGGCTAGCTTTGAACCATGATCCTCAGATCTCAGCCTCCTGAGTAGCTAGGATTACAGGTATGAGCCACCGGTGCCCAGTGGATATAGCCATTTTCAACTGGATCCACAGAGCAACTGATCTTGAGCCAATGCTAGGAAGTAAGGGAGCAAGCAGCCTTATATGTATCCCTGCTTCTAACCTTGAACAATCCCAGTGTACCTTCAACCAACCATGTAAGGTCTTTTCCCTGAAGCCTCGTGACTACACACACTCATTTAAGCCATTCTGCACTGAAATAATATTTATTTATTTTTTTTCCTTGGCAAAAAAATGCTACATTTTTAAAAACAAAATCTCAAACAATCAAACGCATTACCCATCATTGAAGAGGGTCTGGCAACAGTACAAAACATCCTACTTAAAGATTTTTTTTTTTGTTTTAAATATACAAGTCAGTTTCAAATGATAGAAGTTCTGTGAGAACTAAGAAATCTACAGACTGTAGTTTAATAATAGAAAAAAATTAAGACAAAAAGATTTATAGCAACCAGCATTTTGCTTAATTCCCTGTTTATAGCACCTATTTTTCTAGGTTAAAAGATGAGAATTCCAGAACCTGCGGGATAATGCTGTGTGCCCCAAGGTTAGGGTAGGCTATTTTCCTTCCCCAGCAGGCACCCCCCACACACACACTCAGAAGAGGTATAACAGAGAGTGACTAAGAATCTGGGGTGCAGGAATATGATTGCATTTCCCCAGGACAGGAAGCTGACAGAAGCATTGTATGTACCTAGAGGAAGACTGTGGAAATAGCTGTTATCTTCAACATGATGCATAAAAAGCAGGAACAACTGGACATTACAGTCAGTGTCCTGCAATTTTAAAAACCTCAGACTAAACAGACAGTTCAAGGGAGGAACAGGCAAATCACTAATCTGTTACATGCACAACAATGCAGGCTACTGGCCACTCCATCACCATCCCAGGCTGGGCTAATACAGTAGGAGAGGTGGCTTCAACCCTAAGCCCCACTGCATTGAGGAAACAAAAACTCCATACATGAAGCACTCACTAAACACAGATAACCCCCCTGCTCACCACCATGCTCCTGGCCTGAAGCCAATTTAGCAAACAACAGCAAAACCCACAGGAGATTAGGAGAATGGTAAGGGAAAAGCTTTTCCTTCAAGCCAAGGGAACTGTGTTTGGTAACCTTAGCAGACTTGAAGCCCTCCCAGCCCTAGGGTATGACAATGCTAGACCAGGTCTTGCTTGAGGGGAAAGGAATATTAGGAAGAGGATTCTCCTCACCAAATCCCATGAAGCTTCCGCAGCCTGCAGAGCTGCACCTGTTTTAGAGGAATGGCCATTGGCTAGTCAGATGGGAGCTTGGGAAGTGGAAGGAACACACCCACAAAGTTCTCACATGGGGAACACCCTCATGGGATGACAGTAGGGCTGGATTGGAGTCCTGACATGGAAGGCCCCAGGCAGCCTGTGAGCTACCTCAAAGGTGTTACCAGTGATTTGTTTCTCTTTCTGATTTTTGCTTCCTATAATCATGTTGATTAGAACTTATAAAAACAAGATACAGGCCAAACCCAAAGCTGGACTCTGTGAATAAGTTGTTTCTTTTATAAATATTTTAATTACAAGTAATCCTCACTCCAGGTAATTTCAGTGACACACAGTACCCACAGGTACACAGGTTCACACGCATACACGCGCATACTCACATGGCTCCCAAACTTTCACAGAAAGTCTGACAGATACCACATAATTATAAAGAAGCCCTACCTCTCAAGAATGAAGTAAGGATGAGAATAACTATGTTATTTCAGCCTCAAGAAGCCAGGGGAGTATGTGTCACTTAAAGAAAAAATACAAATAGGAATTTGCAACAATGTTTGGTTGAGAAGTCAGAAACAAAACCAAAAAAAAAAAAAAGAAAAAGAAAAAGAAAATTCTGATTACTTAAAGGAGAAAAAAGCAATACAACAACAACAAAAACACCCTTTGGATTTCTTTACAGAGCTTCTTCCTATGAAGTGCCTAGACCACAGATAAACTGGTGTTCCCACTAAAATAGGAGAGCTTTCACAATCGGAAAAAAAAAAATCGAAAGAACCAAAGAAACAGAGGGTGGAAGTTAGTGTAACTCTGCATTTTGGGAGAAAGTTAGCTGTCATTAACTCCAGAGTCCAGCATAGTTTCCATGGAGCCCTGAAGGGAGGGGACCTCCTGCCACAAAGAGTTTCGTTCCAGACGAGTCGTAGCAGTGGGTGTAAACAGCATTGGGGAAGAAATCAATATCTGAGAAGTAATTCCTCCAGGTTTCATCATGATTCTATGGAAGAAGAAGAGACCATTAATAGCTCTAGGCCGTGGGGTAGAAGAGAAGGAAGAAGGGATAAGAAAGATTTCTGGTCTTAGTAAGAACTCTATAAAAAGCTGAATTAGGGGCTGGGAAGGTGGCTCAGTGGTAGAATTCTTGCATGCATGAGACCCTGGGTTTGATTCTTCAGCACCACATAAGCAGAAAAAGCTGGAAGTAGTGCTGTGGCTCAAATGGTAGAGAGCTAGCCTTGAGCTGAAGAGCTGAGGGACAGCACCCAGGCCCAGAGCTCAGGCCCCATGACCAACAACAACAACAACAAAAAAGTTGAATTAAAGAAGAGAGGAGGCCAGGCACTGGTAGCTCATGCTTGTAATCCTAGCTACTCAGGAGGCTGAGATCTGTGGATCATAGTTCAAAGCCAGCCTTGGCAGGAAAGTCCATGAGATTCTTATCTCCAATTAACCACCAGAAAAAGGGAAGTGGGGCTGTGGCTCAAGAGGCAGAGCGCTCACCTTGAGCTGAAATGCTGAGGGACAGTGCCCAGGCCCAGTGTTCAAGCCCCACAACCGACAAAAAAAAAAAGGAAGAGAGGATACTGACCAAGAAGCACTGTACATATTACCTGACTTATGGAATTGTAACCTCTTTGTATAAATTTAAAAAACAAAACAAAACAAAAACAAAAAACAGTTTGGTTCTCATGGGAATTGGGCTCTCCTCTCCCTTTCTCTCTCTCTCTATGCTGGTCCTGAGGCTTGAACTCAAGGCCTGGGCACTGTCCCTGAGCTTCATTTTGCTCAAGGCTAGTGCTTTTACCACTGGAGCCACACAGCATCACTTCCAGTTTTGGTGGATAACTTTTTTGCCCCGGTTGGCTTCAAACCACGATCCTTGTTTCCCGAGTAGCTAAGATTACAGGTGTGAGCCACCTGGCCAGGCCTCTTCCTAACTAAACATTAAGAGAAACTGAGCAGGCTTAAGTATTGTTACACAAAGCACAGGTCTTCACGAGACAGTTGGAAACGAACTCCGTAATTACTCACTGGAAGCCATGGTGTAAGGTTCCTCATCCTTCCTGCTCTATCACCACTTGGGGGATTTCGAAGTCAACCAGTATGCTTTACTAGAGCCTTGTATTCTCAGACGTAATATGGAACATTCAGGGCAACAAGCTGCCTTCTCTGTTCCAGACAGTGCCTCTTACTACTGAAAAAGTGTGGGCAGGTAAGTGGTGTGTCAGCAGAAGTAAGGGTAAATGAGTAGAGGGAAAATAATTTTTGTCACTTCCACCAACCATCTCAGGTGGAGGCTTACTCACCAGCCAACCTTTGCCAGTGGTTAGTTTCAGATTTTCCCCTGCTAGTCTGGGCTTGGATCCATAACACGCTGAGAACCTCTCTTCCAGAAATCTCTGAGCTCGGATATCATAGAAGAGCAGGGAGCCCTGCCCTGTGCCCACAGTGATGATATGCTCATAGAAGCTCACGGACCGGATCCCTGAGAGACAAAAGTAAGGGCAATGAAGACAAAGAACATGTGCTTAGTAAGTAGTCTGTTAGCCTGAGTTTCTCTAACACTGAATTTGTGCAGCACCTACAAAAATCACATCATTAGCCAGGCACCATTGTCTCACTCCTGTAATCCTGGCTACTCAGGAGGCTAAGATCTGAGGATCATCATGCAAAGCCAGCCCCAGCAGCAAAGTCTATGTGACTCTTATTTCCAATTAATTATAGAGAAAGCTGGAAGTGGTACTGTGGCTCAAACAGGCAGCGTGTAGACTTGAGCAAAAGGAGCCCAGGAACAGTGCCTTGGCCCAGAGTTGAAGCCCCAGAACTGACAAAAAACAAAAACAACAATAACAACAACAAAAAAAATATCACGCTATCACACTATTCTATGGTCAAGTACCCAGAAACCCTCTGCAAGGCTAGATCCGTGATGACAGCCAATGTTTTTGGTCAAAGAATGTAAGTGTGTCTGGAACTCCCCCCAGCCACTCTGGAATCACCTATTTTATACCTTAAGATGATCTGCAGGGGCTGGGAAGGTGGCTTAGTGGTAGAGTGCTTGCCTTGCATGCATAAGGCCCTGGGTTCCATTCCTCAGCACCACATAAGCAGAAAAAAAAAGCCGGAAATGGCGCTGTGACTCAAGTGGTAGAGTGCTAGCCTTGAGCTGAAGAGCTGAGGGACAGCGCCCAGGCCCCACGACAGGACCCCCTCCCCCCAAAAAATAAAAAAAATGATTAAGATGATTTGCAGCACTGCAAAAAGGTTTTTTGTTGTTGCTGTTTTCTTGTTTTTTTTTTTTTTTTGTGTGCCAATCTTGGGCCTTGAACTCAGGGCTTGGTTACTGTCCTTAGCTTTTTGTTCAAGGCTGGCATTCTACCACTTGAAACATAGCTCTACTTCCAGCTTTTTGGTTCCTGCCCAGACTGGCTCCTTAGATCTCAGCCTCCTAAGTAGCTAGGAACACGGGTATAAATGATCAGCAGTTGGTTACAAGTCGACATCTGAAATTAAGTGTGTTATTAGAGTGGTAAAAAGCACCTCAAATCACACTTTCTCTCACCTATAGTATGAAATTTTAAGTTAAGTCATTTACTCTCTGTGGGCCACAGAAAAAACATATTCACTGACAATGTAGTTAAAATAAATCCCTGAGATACAAAGATATCTCTTGGCACATAAGAAGAGCTGCAAAGGAAGTGGCGCTGTGGCTCAAGTGGTAGAGCACTCGCCTTGAGCTGAAGAGCTGAGGGACAGGCTAGGAATGTGGCTTAATGGTAGAGTGCTTGCCTAGCATGCATGAAGCCCTGGGTTCCATTCTTCAGTACCACATAAACAGAAAAGGCCAGGAGTGGCGCTGTGGCTCAAATGTTACAGTACTAGCCTTGAGCAAAAAGAATCTCAGGGACAGAACCCAGGCCCAGAGTCAAGCCCCAAGGCTGGCAAAAAACAAAAACATTGCCCAAAACAAAAGCCTATTTTGAAAGAAAGAAAAGACTATATTGGGACAGGCGCCGGTGGCTCACAACTGTAATCCTAGCTGATACTCAGGAGGCTGAGATCTGAGGATTGCAGTTCAAAGCCAGCCTGGGCAGGAAAGTCCCTGAGACTCTTTTTTTTTTTTTTTTTGCTGGTCACGGGGCCTGAACTCAGGGCCTGGGTGCTGTCCCTCAGCTCTTCAGCTCAAGGCTAGCACTCTACCATTTGAGCCACAGTGCCACTTCCAACTTTTTCTGCTTATGTGGTGCTGAGGAATCGAACCCAGGGCCTCATGCATACAAGGCAAGCACTCTATCACTACTTTCCTAGCCCCTCCGTGAGACTCTTATCTCTAATAAACCACTAGAAAAAAAAATGGAAGTGGTGCTGTGGCTCAAGAGGTAGAGCGCTCGCCTTGAGCTGGAGAGCGCAGGGACAGCGCCCAAGCTCCGAGTTGAAGCCTCACAACTGACCAAAAACAAAAACAAAAACAGACAAAACCCAACTTTGTTAAATTGGAAACCTGGATTTGGTCCCTATAAATTTCTCCATTAAATTGTATGATGCTGGGTCTTAAGTCTTGCCTGTATGATAGGATCAACACTATCTTTTCCTCTCTGCTCCCACAGGATTCTTGTTCGGATGCAATGAGCTATGTGAAAAGGTTATTCTGAAACCTAAATAAATACTATAAATACAAGTCTCCTTTTCTCTTCCAACATAGAATATGCTTTATTTTTTTATTTTATTTTTTTTTCTTTGTCGGTCGTGGGGCTTGAACTCTGGGCCTGGGCGCTGTCCCTCAGCTCTTCAGCTCAAGGCGAGTGCTCTACCACTTGAGCTACAGCGCCACTTCTGGTTTTCTGGTGGTTTATTGGAGATAGGAGTCTCTCGGTCTTTCCTGCCCGGGCTGGCTTTGAACCGCGATCCTCAGATCTCAGCCTCCTGAGTAGCTAGGATTACAGGCGTGAGCCACCAGCGCCCGGCTAGAATATGCTTTAAAAGAGTGGAGGCTAGGGACTAGGGTACAACTTGGTGGTCAAGCACCTGCTAAACACTTGCTAAGGCCGTGGGGGTCAATCCACAGCCCACAGCCCAGCTAAAAGCTTTAAAAAAGGAAAGAGGGGGCTGTGGTAGAGTGCTTGCCTAGCATGCATGAAGCCCTGGGTTCAATTCCTCAGTACTACATAAACAGAAAAAGTCAGAAGAGGCACTTGTGGCTCAAGTGGTAGAGTGTTAGCTTTGAGCAAAAGAAGTTCAGGAACAGTGTCTAGTCCCTGAGTTCAAGCCCCAGGACTGGCAAAATAAAAAGAGGCTGAAGAGTAACATCCATTAGTCAGAATGAACTTAAAATCAGCATTCTCCTTAGTTTTATTGAGTATAATTGTCACATAATACATGTAAGGTCTGCTCCTGGATGGCGAGCAGACTCCACCCTCCTTGCAGCAAAGTCTCTACCCAGTACCTGCATTACCTAGGCAACTAACACACCTCAAAGAGGTCACATCTGCACTTGCTGAGGTCACATCTGAATTTGATGTGGCCACACCTTTCTCCGCCCATACCCTAGATAAGGCCTAGCCCAGGCCCAGATGCTCTCTTTCCCAGCTCTTTCTTTCTCAGCACTTTCCCAGCTCTTTCCCAGCCGCATGGAGTGCCAACCGGGCCTGGTGCCAGCCAGAACGATAAATAAACCTACCCCTTACCTGAATACCACGTGTGTGGTGTGGTTCTTACTCGGCAACCTCCTTTTAAAAAAACCTAACAATACACAGTATCCTCATGTCCCTTTATAAGTTCTTCCATCATGCCAATTCCTTTTAATTCAGAAAGAGATCCAGCAAAAAAAGTTACCACAGAATAGAACATAGAGCTCTATGAAAGAACATGGCAGGCTGGGAAGGTAGCTCAGTGGTAGAGTACTTGCCTCGCATGCATGAGGCCCTGGGTTTGATTCCTCAGCACTACATAAACAGAAAAAGCCAGAAGTAGTGCTGTGGCTCAAGTGGTAGAGCACTAGCCTTGAGCTGAAGAGCTGAGTGACAGCACCCAGACCCAGAGTTCAAGATCCACAACCAACGGGAAAAAAAGAACACAGAAGTTACTAATATCTTCACTAGTGGTTTCTGTAACAAAGACTTCTATGGCCACATATTAGTACTGCCATATTTGCATATCCAACTCTCCTTTGTCACCAATGATTCTGTATTATACATACAGATCACCGTACTTGTTTGGAAAACAACATAGAAATTGAGCATCAAAACTCATTTTACAATGTAACTGTAAACTGGAAGGGCACATGGAGACTTACCACTGCCTCGCTCCCTGGAACAGACAGACTTGACACTGTATGATGGCTGCCGTGGATCCAAAAAGGAGACGTGAGCCTGAGAGCCCACTGCATACACTGACCATTCACTACCATAGGCCAGACACACATTCTCACGGCAATATGGAAGTTTGGTGGATAGGAGCTGAAAACAATGAGAAGACATATAGCTGTGACATCAAACCAGTAATCCTATACACAGGAGGCTGAGATAGGAAGATCCAAAGTTTCAGGCCAATCTTGTCTACAAAGTTAGATCCTGTCCTGAGAACTGACACAAAAAAAGGGAGGGAGAGGAATCTTTTCCTACCTTTGTAGGGTTTTTCATCACACACAAGCAATGTTCAGTCACGAGACCAAATCAGAAAAAACTGGTGGCTCTTGCCTGCAACCCTGTCCTACTCAAGAGGTTGAGAACTGGAGGTGGTGGTTTGAAGCCATCCCAGGCAGAAAAGTCCGCAAGACTCAGTCACCATCAACCAGCAAAAAGCCTAGCTGTATGGCTCAAATGGTACAGTACCACCCACAGGCAAACAGTCAAAACAAAATGTTTTAAGTTTAAGTCACAGTATTGCCACAAAAACAAAACCTCCCCAAATTAGGGAAAAAGGTCAATCTAAAATTAAATACTCAGAATGGTAGGAAAGGCTTAAAATTACAGGTTGTTTCCAGGAATAATCCCACAGCAAGAAAGCTAACATCCACATCCTGTTCTATCTCTAGGAAGGGCCACTACCTTCTTCACTACTCTTTAGATAAAGGAGCTAATTTCTGCCTACCTTTAGTCTATCTCCCCAGTTGAATGGGAATTGCATAATACAGAAAGTAAACCCACAGAACTGGCTTCATCCCAGATAACCTAAATCCACCTTAGATGCTAAATGCTTGTGATCTAGCAAATCTATACCATATAAAGTAAGTAGAGCTTAAAGCTTTTGGGATTTAAAATTAGTAATTCCTAGACCCTTGCAAGTAAATGCCTATCACAGAAGAAACAAACAAGCAAAAGCCTCTGAATATAGACAAATAACACACATGTAGGTTGCTTATAAGTACTATAAATTCAATCCATTTTTTTATGTGGGCCTGATGCTATACATCTGTAAACCCAATGCTTGGGAGACTGAGGCAGGAAGATCTCCACTAAGAGGCTAATTCAGACTACATAGCAAGACCTGCCTTAAAAAAAAAAAAAAAAAAAGCAAGCTGGGTGTCAGTGGCTCATGCTACTCAGAAGGCTGAGATACGAGGATTGTAGTTCAAAGCCAGCACAAGCAGGAAAGTCCGGGAGACTCTTATCTCCAATAAACTACTCAGAAAACCAGAAATAGCACTGTAGCTCAAATGGTAGCGCTCTCGCCTTGTGCTGAAGAGATCAGGGACACTGCCCAGGCCCAGAGTTCAAGCCCCACGACCAACAACAACAACAAAAAAAGCATTCAGGGAATGGAAACTTTTTTTTTTTTTTGGGTCCGGTCGTGGGGCCTGAACTCTAGGCCTGGGTACTGTTCCTCAGCTCTTCAGCTCAAGGCTAGCACTCTACCACTTAGCCACAGCGCCACTTCTGGCTTTTTTCTTTTTGCTTATGTGGTGCTGAGGAATCGAACCCAGGGCCTCAGGCATGCAAGGCAAGCGCTCTACCACTGAGCCACCTTCCCAGCCCCTTGTTGTTGTTTTTGTCTTGTTTGTTCATTTATGTTTGGGGGGGGCACAGAAAGGGAGGGACAAAAGGGTAAACAAATTCAGCAGTGATACTCACTAGAACTTGTTGGTAGGGATGGGAGGGAAAAATGGGAGAGAGTGAAGGGGTGACATTGTCCAAAAGAGAAATTCCCTACCTGAGTTACATAACTGTAACCATCTATTCCTTTATAATAATAATAAATTTACAACAACAAAAACAACAAACCAGCCAAGCACTAGTAGCTCTTACTTGTAATCTAGCTACTCTGAAGACTGAGATCTTGAGATTTGAGGATTACAGTTTGAAACTAGCCTGTGCAGAAAAGTCTGAGTGATTCTTTATTTTCCAATTAACAACTGTGGGTCAAGAAGTAGAGAGCTAACCTTGAGCAAAAAAGCTCAAGGACAGTACCCAGGTCTGGAGCCCCAAGGCTGGCACAAAACAACAAAACCTCCTGCAAATTGCAGTTTAGAGTTAGCACAGTCAAATTTTTGAGACCCTTACCTCCAATTACTAGTAAAATGCTAGAAATGGAGGTGTGGCTGAAGTGGTAATTGTGCCAACCTTGAGTGAAAAAGTGGAATGAGAGTGTAAGGCAGTTACCTGACTATTTCACAGGTGTTTTGCTCCTTTTACATTTCTCTGCTCATACAACATACTAAGCAATCAATAATCTATGCACAATGCCCAAATATACTATGGACTGGAGGAAATGTAAGGAAGGCCCTCAGTAAGCCTGTGCGATCTGGAGAGGCTCATCCTCAAATCTTTTTCCTTCTTGCTTTTTGTCTCTCTCCCTCTCCTTTTCTTTTTGTCCTTCCTGGGCCCTGAGTTCAGGTCTAAGCTCCTTTTGCTCAAGGATAGCACTCCATCACTTATGCTACAATGCCACTTTTGGCTTTTTCTGTGATTAGAGATAAGATTATCATTGGGGGAAAAAAAAAGTGTCTCATGGACTTTCCTGCCCAGGCTGGCTTTGAACTGCAACCCTCACATCTCAGCCTCCTGAGTAGCTAGGATTACAGGTGTGAGCCATCAGTGCTTGGTTCCGATCTTCTTAAAAGACTTTTCCCTTTGCCAGGTGCTGGTGGCTCACGCCTATAATCCTAGCATCCTAGCTACACAGGAGGCTGAGATTTGAGGATCACAGTTCTAAGCCAGCTTGGGCAAGAAAGTCCGCAAAACTCTCAACTCAATAAACCACCAGCAAACCAGAAGTGGCACTGTGGCTCAAGTGTTAGAGCACTCACCTTGAGCTGAAGAGCGCAGGAACAGCACCCAGGTTCTGAGTTCAAGTCCCATGACAGACAAAAAACCTTTCCCTTCAAAAAAAGCAGGCCAGGACTGGGAAGGTGGCTCAGTGGTAGAGGACTTGCCTTGAATGAGTGAGGCCCTGGGTTCGATTCCTCAGCACCACATAAGCAAAAAGAAAAAAGCCGGAAGTGGTGCTGTGGCTCAAGTGGTAGAGCGCTAGCCTTGAGCTGAAGAGCTGAGGGACAGCGCCAGGCCCAGAGTTCAGGCCCCACGACCGGACCCCCCCCCCAAGAAAAAAAAAAGCAGGCCAATAAATAACATGCAAATCAAAACAACCCTGAGATACCATCTTACCCTAGTTAAGACTAGCCAACATTTTGAATTCTAACAACAAATGCTGGTGGGAATATAGGGACAAAGGAACCCTACTGCGCTGCTGCTGACTAGTACAACCACTATGGAAGGCAGGCTGGAGGTTCCTCAAGGAACTAAACATAGACCTTCCTTACAACCCAGCCATACTACTCCTTGACATCTACCCTGAGCATCCGAAGCCAGGATATGATAAGAACATCTTCACATCCATGTTTATTGCAGCACTATAGCCAAGATACAGAAACAATCCAGACGCCCCACAATAAATCAGTGGATCCAAAAAAAGTGGTACCTATATGATGGAATTTTATACAGGCAATAGAAAAAATAATGTCATCTCCAGGGAAATAGATGGAACTAGACCAAACCATGTTAAATGAGGTAAGCCAAGATCAGAGAGACAGTGCATGTTCTCCCTGCTATATTACATCTAAAAGGCACTGAGAGAGCTGGGAATATGGCTCAGTAATAGAGTACATGTCTAGCATGCATGAAGCCCGAGGTTTGATTAATTAGTACCACATAAACAGAAAAAAGCCTGAATGTGGTGCTGTGGCTCAAGTGGTAGAGCTTTAGCCTTGAGCTCTTGAAGAGCTTAGGGACAGCATCTATATCCTGAGTTCAAGCCCCATGACAGGCAAAAAAAAAAAAAAAAAAGCCAGGCGCTGGTGGCTCACGCCTATAATCCTAGCTACTCAGGAGGCTGAGATCTGAGGATCACAGTTCAAAGCCAGCCCGGGCAAGAAAGTCCATGAGACTCTTATCTCCAATAAACCACTAGAAAACCGGAAGTGGCATTGTAGCTCAAGTGGTAGAGCACTTGCCTTGAGCTGAAGAGGGCAGGGACAGCACCCAAGCCCAGAGTTCAAGCCCCATGACTGACCAAAAAAAAAAAAAAGATACTGAGATATGAGAAAATACACAGAATTCTAGATACCCACATACAGTGGGACCAAAAGAGGATTAGTCTTAGGAGAGAATCACAGAGATAGAATACCCAAGTACCTCCTCATATGTATATAAAATAATATACAAACTCCAATGAAAACAAAGGACTTTTTTCTTAATCTGTTTGTTCTTTTTTTGTTGACTCTGTATTCTTTAACTTACATATGGTGTATTTCACATCCACATCTGAGAAAGGTTGGGGGAAGGCACAGAATCAGAGAAAAAAGTGCAGCAGTAGAGCAAACTGGCTGCACCAGACATTGATTAAAGTGAACTATGCAACTCATGGGTGGAAATGGGACAGAGGGAATAGGAGAGAATGAGGGAACAGATGCAAAAGGAAATGTACTTCCTTTCCTATGCAAAAGGAAATGTACTTATTTCCAGATGTATGTAAAGTAACTCTGCTGTCAATCACCTCTAAAACAATAATAAAGTAAGTTGGGAAAAATAAAAAGAAGTAAGCCAGACTCAGAATTTCAATGTCCTGTGCAATAACATGCCCAAACCTTTGGAAAACAGGTGTTTTAGTCAACAATAATCTACACACAACTATATGGGGAATCATTAGGTAAAATAAAAAAATTATGTTCATCAAACCTTAGATAATGTATTTTCAGCCTTCCAAAGATGAAAGTAGCCATCCAGAGATACTGCTCCTAGTTCCTACAAGAGCAATGAAAAACAGGTTACAGTTCAATTTGTACCACAGTAAGCAGGGGAAGACCTTGAAGCATGGGGTCTTCCTGTCCTCTTCTCCTATCCCATGATATTCCCATTGAGTGTACCAGGAATTATCAACCTATCAACTCACCCTATGGACTACAGCTGAACAGTGTATTATTACGCAAGCAATACTACAGGCACTCATAATTGAAAAAGTCCCTACTTCGCCACCTGGTTGTACTGTTGCAGTAGAGCACACAAGTGAAGCCCAGTTTTCTTAATCCTCAATGTGACAGCTGGTAAGTGGAAAGAAATGTGGATGGGAGGAGGAGGCTAAGGTAAAAATTTTCCAAGTTATGGCCTCATTCAGATTTTGCAAAAGCTTTTCTCCTGTTCTAGCTCTGTCTATTTAAGACTTCAGCATCTGCCGGGCGTCAGTGGCTCATGCCTGTAATCCTAGCTACTCAGGAGGCTGAGATCCGAGGATCACAGTTCAAAGCCAGCCCGGCCAGGAAAGTCCATGAGGCTCTTATCTCTAATAACTACCGCTCAAGCGGTAGAGCACTTGCCTTGAGCTGAAGAGCTTAAGGACAGCACTCAGGCCCAGAGTTCAAGCCCCACAACCGACCAAAAAAAAAAACAACTTTAGGGCTGGGAAGGTGGCTCAGTGGTAGAGCACTTGCCTTGCATGCATGGGGCCCTGGGTTCGATTCCTCAGCACCACATAAACAAAAAGAAAAAAGCCAGAAGTGGCACTGTGGCTCAAGTGGTAGAGCGCTAGCCTTGAACTGAAGAGCTGAGGGACAGCGCCCAGGCCCAGAGTTCAGGCCCAACGACTGGACCCAAAAAAACAAAACAAAACTTCATCATCAGATCTGACATAATAATTAGGTAAGTCCTGGTAGCAATGAAAGGGAAAAAAAGACTGAGAAGAAACATAATACTTAAGTGGGGGTGGGGGTGGGGGGTGAAGGGGGGGGCTCATGCCTATCATCCTGGCTATACAGGAAACTGGGACCTGAGGATCCAGTTTAAAGCCAGTTTGCGCAAAAAGTCTGTGAGACTCTCATCTCCAATTACCACAAAAAAACTTGAAGTAGAGCAATGTCTCAAATGGTAAGGTACTAACTATGATAAAAAAAAAGAAACCTCAGCAGGCCCTGAGTTCAAGCCCCACCCAGGACCAACACACACACACACACACACACACGCACACGCACACGCACACGCACACGCACACACACACACACAGTGTTTTCATAGGCAAGTATGAAAATCACCCCCCAAATACAGCACCTATAAAGACATACCATGAGAGAGTCAAGTCAGACTGGTCTGGGGAAAGTACAACATTACCCCACAAACATGGTCCACTCAAGAGAAATATAAGAGATTAATCCAAGGGGGGGTTGGCCTCAGTTATAATTCTTTGCCAGCATTCCTGAGCCTTTAAGAGGTACTCAGTTGGGAGAGAAGGGATGGTAGGGGAAAAATAAAGGAGGAGACAACAATGCTTGAAAGGAAATGTACTCATTACCCTGCTCATGTAATTGTAACCCCTCTGTACAGTATTTTTACAATTAAAAAACGCATTAAAATTAAAAAAAACAAAAGAGGTGCTCAGAAGCCAGGCACCAGTGGTTCATGCTTATAATCCTAGCTACTCAGGAAGCTGAGATCTAAGGATCTTTGTTAAAAGCTAGCCTGGGCAGGAAAGACTGTAGAATTCTTGTCTATAACTAACCACCAAGAAAGCAAGAAGTGGAGCTGTAGCTCAAGTGGTAGAATGCTAGCCTTGAACCAAGTAATACAGCAAGTACTCCATTCATGGGCAAATGAGAAGAGATTGCATTTCCCAAGCCATAATTAAAGAAAATAGACTCCAGGGATCACTTGGTGAGTTCATACCTTGTTCTTGCTGTTAAAGGCCAGAGCCCGGACCTTGCAGTTGTCAGGGTTTGTGTTCTCCTTAGGGATGTCCTTTAAGACCTTGTGAGTAATGTGGGCATACACAGGGACCCGTGACACATTGTGCCTTGCATCACTTTTGGTCAATACATCATCCGTCACTTCCCAGAGTCCCATAGAACCATCACGTGAACCTGTGTAGTAGGCAACACAGATGTCAAGCTCCATAGGACAATCTCACAGAACCAAAGTATGTTTTTCTTAGTTTTTTTTTTGGGTCTGGTCATGGGGCCTGAACTCTGGGCCTGGGTGCTGTTCCTCAGCTCTTCGGCTCAAGGCTAGCGCTCTTCCACTTGAGCCACATCGCCACTTCCAGCTTTTTTTTCTTTTTGCTTATGTGGTGCTGGGGAATCAAACCCAGGGCCTCATGCATGCAAGGCAAGTGCTCTACCATTGAGCCACCTTCCCAGCCCCTTTTCTTAGTTCTTAGCATCATCTTCATATATACTGAAACTTATCCAGGTGGTCTACCCCTAAATACAGAGCTATGCTGACAATAGTCATGCTAAGATGACAATTTGACTAAGGTCTAAGAGTTAAAACACAGTCTACATGGTTAAAGAGAATTTTATACAGCTTAATAAAACCAGGTAACTTCCCAAGCAAAATGCTCAGGTCACTTGGCATATATTAATACCTGACTTCCAATGGACAGTAGGGTGTTGGAGATCAAAGGAATTTAAGTTGTGTGTGTGTGTGTGTGTGTGTGTGCGCACACGCACGCATGCGTGTGTGCGCATGTGCATGCACTGGCACACCAATCCTGGGGCCTGAACTCAGGACCTGAGCACTGCCCTGAGCTTTTGTCCTCAAGGCAGTGCTCTTCCACAGCACTATTTTGAGCTTTGTGGTGGTTAATTGGAGATAAGAGTCTCCTGGAGTTCCTGCCTAGGCTGGCTTTGCACGCAGTCTTCAGGTCTTAGCCTCCTGAATAGCTAGGATTACAGGTGTGAGTCACTAGGGCCCGGCCTTACTTACTTCTAAGCCTTGACCTAGGAGATATTATAGACTCCCTCCTATCTTCTCTCCCTCTACTTCCTTCTCTCTCCCTTTCTTGCTATTTAGCCAAGACTGGAATGGAACTTACAAATCTCTTGCCTCAACCTCCCTCAAATGGGGACTACAGGTGTTTACCACCAAACCCTGCTTAGACTTCTTCCTCTAAAAATTTAATATTCAACTTCAGGGAAGCCCATCGATCTACAGTGGCTACAATCCCTTTAAGAGAGACTTAAGTCAGGAACTGGTGACTCATGCCTGAAATCCTAGCTGCTCAGGAGGCTAATATCTGAGGACCAGAGTTGGAAGCTAGCCCAGGCAGGAAAGTCTGAGACTCAACTCTAATTAATCACCAAAAAGTCAGAAGCAGAAGTGTGGCATAAGTGGTAGAGTGCCAGTCTCCAACAAAAAAAATTAAAGGAAAGTACACTGGTCCAGAATTCAAGCCCCAGTATTATGTGTGTGTGCATATAAACACAAAAGGTAAATTGCTGGTGGCAAGCTCTGACTGTGCTTTTGGTAAACAATCACAACAAAACCTTCAACGTTTAAATTCTGATCTAAGAATGGCCCCATAAACAAAAGTGTTTATTATTGCTAAACAACATGGCAAGCTCATAGCCATAAAAAAGAGTACAGCTGGACATGATGATTCTCATCTATAATCCTAGAACTCAAGAGGCTGAAGCAGAACTGTGATTTTGAGGCCAATGAAATTTTGTCTTAAAAACACAACAAAATATAAACCTAAGCACAACTCAAAAGTTTCTTTCCCAGCCAGATGGTGGTGGCTCACGCCTGTAATCCTGGCTACTCAGGAGGCTGAGATCTGAGGATCATGGTTCAAAGCCAGCCTGGGCAAGGAAAGTCCAGTGAGACTCCTATCTCCAATAAACCACTTAGAAAGTTGGAAGTGGCGCTGTGGCTCAAGTGGTAGCGCACTAGCTTGAGCTGAAGAGCTGAGGGACAGTGCGCAGGCCCAGAGTTCAGGCCCCATGACTGACAAAAAAGAAAAAGAAAAGAATAGTTCATTCTAACAGTGAAATGAGTCACGGGGTTTACAGATGGACTTGTATTTGAGGAGCTGACTGCAGGCAGGCAGGGATCAGTAATACTTGGAAAATACTACGTAGTAGTGGGTACTACGTCCCATACTACGTAGTAGTCATGAGTGTGAGTCCTGGATGTGAGCCCATTGCATCCCTATTTAAGTAATGACTACTGTTCCTACTGCAGGATTTCTTAAATTGATCTCTGCAGGCAAGGTCAAAATCTTATGTATAAAAATTGAGGAGTAGCACTACATAGAAGCTATTGTTTTACTGTATGCAACAAAAGCGTACAGTATATGAACTAAACAAAGATTGTTAGAAAAAGCCTTGTTGCTATGGAAGAAAAGAACCTATTAAAACTTTTCCTCCTGCTTTTTTGGTTAGCTTTTCCATTTTCCTTTGAGTAGCATTTTGGAGAATAAAATGAATTAAGGTTGGAAAACAGAGTTTCATTATGAAAAAATGTTGAGGGGCTGGGAAGGTAGCTCAGTGGTAGAATGCTTGCCTTGCATGCGTGAGGCCCTGGGTTCGATTCCTCAGCACAACATAAGCAAAAAAAGCTGGAAGTGACACTATGGCTCAAGTGGTAGAGTGCTAGCCTTGAACTGAAGAGCTGAGGGACAGCACCCAGGCCCCAGAGTTCAGGCCCCATGACCCACAAAAAGAAGAAAAAGAAAAAGAAAAAATAGAAAAAGAAAGAGAAAAAGAAAAAGAAAAAAGAAAAAGAAAAAAATGTTGAGTCAGGTGTAGTGGCACAGGCCTGTAATCTCAGCTACTCAGGAGGATGAGGCAAAAGACCAGCCTAGCAACTTGCTAAGATCCATCTCAAAATAAAATAAAGTACTGGGGGTCTGGGCACAAGTGGCAGAAAAGCTCACTAGACAACATCTCCAAAATTATCAGCAAAAAGCAGAGCTGGAGGCATTATTCAACTAGTAGAGTGCCAGCCTACCAAGCATTAGGCCCTGAAAGTTCAAATCCTTCTACTACCGAAATAAAAGAGTGTAAAAAATTTCTATTATCCAACATGTATTACTTATACAGTATGGGGAAATTATTTCAAGTACTAATCTGGCAGCCACATGAAGACTGCATTGGAAAAGGTAAGACTAGACTAAGCAGAAAGTATTTAAGAAAGCAGAAAAGAAGGTGATACATTTAAGTGTTATTATATAAAACAGTTATCAATAGGGCTTGGTAATGAAGGAGACTGAAAAGCCTAAGACAAATTTTGGTTCCCTGGCTATGGCACCTGAGTGAATAGGAGTATTAAGCCAGATATTAGTAGCTCAAGTGGTAGAGCCCTGTAATTCTAACCACTCAAGAAGTCAGCCCAAGCAGGAAAGTCCATGAGTCTCTTATCTCCAATTAATCACCAAAAAGCCAGAAGTGAGCTGTGGCTCAAGTGGTAAAACACTAGCCTTGAGTGAAGATAGTTGAGAGCACGTATTTACTAATAAAACTCCATGACAAAGAGGGATGAATTTTTTTTTTTTTTTTTTGCCAGTCCTGGGGCTGGAACTCAGAGCCTGGGTAGTGTCCCTGAGCTTCTTTTGCTCAAGGCTAGTGCTCTACCACTTGAGCCACAGTGCCACTTCCAGCTTTTTCTGTGTATGTGGTAATGAGAGATCGATCCCAAGGCTTTATGCATGCTAGGCAAGCAGTCTACCACTAAGCCACCTTCCCAGCCCCAGAGGGATGAATTTTGAAAGGGAGATGATGAATTTGAGTCTTCTGATTCTGAGGTAGAATACTCAAGGGTTGATGCCAGTATCAATACTGCCTAACAAGTACAACCAGGCATCACTTTAACAATACGGATACATTCTGAGAAATGGGTTGAACTGGGGATATAGCTCAATGGTACAGCATTTGCCCAGCCCAGGAAAGGTGCTGGATCAGATCCCCAGCACCATAAGACAAGCACATGAAAGACTGTTAGTCATCTTTATTGTTGTGAAAATTTCATAGAATATATTCGCACAAACTAAAATGGCTAAAATATCACTGGGCAATATTACCTATGGGCTGATCATCATATATGTGATTGACAGATAAGTGGTAAGATGATCATACTAAGTACCAAAGACAATACTGCCGGGCATTGGTGGCTCACGCCTGTTATCCTAGCTACTCAGGAGACTGAGATCTGAGGATAGTGGTTCAAAGCCAGCCTAGGCAGGAAAGTCCATGAGACTCTTATATTTAATAAACCATTGAGAAAACTGGAGTGGTACTGTGGCTCAAGTGGCAGAATGCTTGCCTTGAGCTGAAGAGCTCAGGGACAGCACCCAGGCCCAGAGTTCAAGCCCTACTACCAACAAAAATAAATAAATGAATAAATAAATAAGAGTATGCCCAAATACGATTTATTGAAAGTTACAGTTAAGTCAGAAAAAGAACCAATACTAGAAGCAAGCTCTCTTGGCCTCTAGCCAATCTTTCTTGTTTACTGAACTAATTGCTATTACAACTACTATGGCTTTTCAAACTCTAGCCCTCCCTTTCTACCATGCCAAAAACCCCTAAAAAAAAGTTAAATTTACCAGATACTGCCATAGTATCGTTGATCCATGCAATGGAAAAGATCCAATCTTTGTGTCCATCCTGAGAGCAGAGCAAAGAAAGTAAGAGGTAGAGGGGAGAAAACAAAAAGAGGATCAGCAAAACAAGGACTATACTCAACTCTCCTAAAAAAGCATACACGCTTCATCAAAAATGCCTCTGGCCAGCCACAGTGGCTCACGCCTGTAATCCTAGCTACTCAGAGGAGGCTGAGATCTGAGGATCGCGGTTTAAAGCCAGCCCAGGCAGGAAAGTCCGTGAAACTCTTATCTCCAATAAACCACCAGAAAACCAGACGTGGTGCTGTAGCTCAAGTGGTAGAGCGCTCACCTTGAGCTGAAGAGCTGAGGGATAGCACCCAGGCCGAGTTCAAGCCCCAAGACCGACCCTCCCCCCCCCCAAAAAAATGTTCACACCGTAGTATTGCCAAAAACAAAAACAAGTTAGGCACTGGTGGCTCATGCCTATAATCCTAGCCACTCAGGAGGCTGAAATCTGCCAGCCTGGACAGGCAGGAAAGTCCATGAAACTCCTTTTTTTTTATTTGGTCCGGTCATGGGGCCTGAACTCTGGGTCTGGGCGCTGTCCCTGAGCTCTTCAGCTCAAGGCTAGCGCTCTACCACTTGAGCCACAGCGCCACTTCCGGCTTTTTTCTTCTTGCTTATGTGGTGCTGAGGAATCGAACCCAGGGCCTCATGCATGCAAGGCAAGCGCTCTACCACTGAGCCACCTTCCCAGCCCCTCCATGAAACTCTTATCTCCAATAAACCACCAGAAAATCAGAAGTGGTAGAGTACTCACCTTGAGCTGAAAAGTGCAGGGACAGTGCCCAGGCCCAGAGTTCAAGTCCCACGACCAACAAAATAAATAAATTAATTAATTAAATAAAAACATGTCTATGGAGTTCAGTCCCTACTCTGCTATTTATACTCCTTCACCTTCATATTTACAGGTGAGAGAAATCTACAGAACATCATTCCTTTCTAGAAGGAAAAGGAGTTCATACTAGGCAATGTTTAAAAACTACAACCAATGGGAAAACTTACATCGCCTACACACACAGGATCTAGTGTAGGCAGTCGATAGATGGCAAGACTGTTAGGGTTGTCTCCTCCAGTGGCCAGCAATGTCCTTGAGGGATTCAGCTCGATTGCATGGATACCACAGCCCTGCTGGGTCACACCTCCAGGTTCCCGGTCTTTCAGAATGGGGATCTTGGTGATCTGGCTTGTCTGAACATCTACTACAAATAGCTACAAGAGAAGAAGGATGCACAAAAATAAATACAATTTCTATTTCACCTGGCTAACTAGATGCAAACATTCATTTGTCAGTTACCAAATGCACATGTCAAATGAAACATGAAAATAAATATAACATCATGTTAAACAGAAATATAAATGCTACCATGACGACATGAACAGATAGATAATAAATAGTAAATTCTGCCCAGATTGGGTATGATGGTATATGTTTATAAATTCCAGCACTCAGGAAACTAAGGCAGGAGGAAAAGTAATGTGATGCCACCTTGGGCTTATAAAGTCAGACTCTAGTCTCAAAAATCTAAAGAAAGAGCTGGGCGCCAGTGGTTCACGCCTGTAATCCTAGCTACTCAGGAGGCTGAGATCTGAGGATCAAGGTTCAAAGCCAGCCCAGGCAGGAAAGTCCATGAGACTTTTTTTTTAACCACTACAAAACTGAAGTGGCTCTGTGGCTCAAGCGATAGAGTGCTCACCTTGAGCTGAAGAACACAGGAACAGCACCCAAGCCCAGAGTTCAAGCCCCACGACCAACCAAAAGAAAACAAAAAAAACTAAAGAAAGCCAGCCGCCAGTTGGCTCATGCCTGTAATCCTACTCAGGAGGCTGAGATCTGAGGATCGCAGTTCAAAGCCAGCCCAGGCAGGCAAGAAAGTCTATGAGACTCCAATCTCCAATTAACAACCAGAAAACCACAAGTGGCACTGTGGCTTAAGTGGCAGAGTACTAGCCTTGAGCTGACGAGTTGAGAGACAGTGCCCAGGCCCAGAGTTGAAGACCCATGACCAACCAAAAAACTAAATAAATAAAAAATCAATCAATCAAAGAAAAACAAAACAAACCTACTCAGGACCATAGATAGCTTCAAAGAGGCCTTATATTAGTCTGTGGACAAAAGAGCCAGACCAAAACAAAGCTTTTTGTCACCCTGGGCATCTAATCCTCCTTATATAAAAGGAAACTTGTAAATATAAGTCTCAGAACATCTTAGTCCCTATTAAACATACATATTAATTCTACTAGGACTTCTAGAATGACTCCAGATTTATCTATCACACACACTATTCTGCCTTTGCTTGACATGCTTTCTTCAAATCTCTATCAATCTCACCTTTGTTCACTCTCCAAGATATAAACTCATGTTTTATGAGTTTTTTTTTGGTGGGTCATGAGTTGTTTTTTTTTTGGGTGGGGGAGTTGTGGGGTTTTTTTTGGTGGGTCATGGGGCTTGAACTCTAGGCCTGGGCGCTGTAGCCCTGTACTTGAGGCACAGTACCACTTCCAGCTTTTTCTGTTTATGTGGTGCTGAGGAATCAAACCCAGGGCCTCATAAATGCAAGACAAGCACTCTACTGCTGAGCCACCTTCCCAGCCCCATTATGAGATATTTTATGGAAAAGATCAGTCTTAGAGAAGGAACTTCATCCCCAATGGACTATTACTAAACTCTGTGTGATTTAATGGTTCAATTTTTCATTTACTCATCCATTTGCCAGTATTGTTCTAGAGGCTAAATGTAACTATGAACAAGAGATAAAACAACAATCCCCTTATTGCCTGATACAATGGCTAGTGTTCATAGTCTTGCTACTCAAGAGGCTGAGGCAGCAGAAGTGTTTATGCCCAGTTCGAAAGCCCAGTCTGATCAACATATCAAGATCCTCACTTCCAAGAAAAGAAAAATCTTAGCAACGGTCACAGCGAAGCAATGTATAAGTACTTCTGCTGCTTGCATAGGATGTCCACAAGGAGAAACTCAAGTTTCTCCTTGATAACTCAACTTTAAAATATAAAAAGGCACGCTGGTGGCTCATGCTTATAATCCTACCCAGAAGGCTGAAATCAGAGGATCAAGGTTTGAGGCCAGCCTGGGCAGAAAGTTCACTAGAGTCTATCTCTAAAATAACCAGCAAAAAGTGGGACTGGAAGGGTGGAAGCATGGTTCATGTGATAAAGTGCCACTGAACAAGCAAGCCAAGCAAGCTAGAGTCATAACCATCACCAAAATTATTCTATTGTAAGCATAGGTGAAACTCCATTTCAGTTTCCAGTTAGAAAATACTGTGGCTCAAGTGGCAGACTTCTAGCCTTGAGCACAAAGAGGCTCTGGGGCAGCACCCAAGCCCTGAGTTCAAGCCCCACAACAGGCAGGGGAAAAAAAGAAAAGAAACAAAAACTAAGAACAATTAAAAGTAGTAGATGGAAACACAGAACTGAGTCTGTATAAAGTTCTGAAAACCAAGATCACATCCTAAACCTCACATCTTTGCAGAGAAATGACAAAGATGTGTTTCTTTAAAGGAAGCGACAAGGATAAGGATGACCTGCCAAAGAATTACTCTTCATGCTCTCTGACAAGGGGCCAACAAGGCTTCATGCAAGCTCCCTGTAACACATCTCAGAAGCGGCTGTTCCATATTAACCTACTGGGATCCCTGCCAGGAACTGGCAATAGGGCAAGGTGAGCCTGAGACTCTAGCTTCCTGCCTCTCATACTGCACAGCAGAGGAGGAAAAGCAGGCAAAGGCTGGAGCTCAGAAAGATACAAGACTAGCAGGCACCTCTCTACAAGAATATGGGTACATAGACATATGTAAATAGTGTGCTCAAAGACTGTTGGGTGTAGTGGCACACACTTCCAGTCCTCGCACTCAGGAAGCAGAGGGAAGATTTTGAGTTTGAAGCCTGCTTGGGCTATATAAGACTTGCCTTAAACTTCCTGTCCAAAAAAGGGACAGGAAGTGGAGCACCTAGACTGCAATCTGAGGATCATGGTTCCAAGCCAGCCGAGGCAGGAAACTCCATGAGACTCTTATCTCTAACGAACTATTCAAACAAAGCAGGAAGTGGCACTGTGGCTCAAATGGTAGAGCCCTGGTGAGCAAAAGAAACTCAGGGACAGTGCCCAGGCCCAGAATTCAAGCTCCAAGACAAAAAAAAAAAAAAAGACAAGAATCTGGGCACTGGTAGCTCACACCTATAATCCTTGCCATTCAGGAGGCTTGAGATCTGAGAATCTTGGTTTGAAGACAGCTAGCTAGTGCAGCAAAGCCCATTACATACTTAATTTCACAATCATCAGAAAACTGAAGTGGAACTGTGGCTCAAAGTGAGAGTACTAGCCTTAAACAACTCAGGGACAGCACTCAGACCCTGAATTCAAGCCTCATAACCACCAAATATATTTTAAAAAATTAAAAAGGACAGGAAGCCTCATGAAGTTTTTAAATTTCAAGTTGGGGGTAGTGTGGAAACCCATAATCACAGCTATTCCAAAGGCTGAAGCAGATAAATCATATTTCAGGCCAGTCCAGCAAAACTCTGTACACAAACACAGTTAAAAAAGGGGGGGGGGGGGCCTGGGAAGGTGGCTCAGTGGTAGAGTGCTTGTCTTGCATGCCAGAGGCCCTGGGTTCGATTCCTCAGCACCATATAAGAAAAAAGAAAAAAGCCGGAAGTGGCACTGTGGCTCAAGTGGTAGTGCACTAGCCTTGAGCTGAAGAGTTGAGGTACAGGGCCCAGGCCTAGAGTTCAGGCCCCATGACTGGACCCAAAAAAAAAAAAAAAAAAAAAAAGGGTGGGGGAGCAAAGCCTCCCTCCCAAAAATAAAAGAACAAGTTTAGATAGGGTAGAAAGATAACAGAAATCAGGAGTCCTTCCTTCCTTCCTCCAGTCCTAGAGCTTGAACTCTGAGCCAGGGCACTGTCCCTCAGCTTCTTTTTACACAAAACTAGCACTTTAACACTTGAGCCACAGGGCCACTTCTCGTTTTCTGATGGTTAATTTGAGATAAGAGTCTCATGGACTTTCCTGCCCGGGTTGGGTTGGCTTTGAACCGTGATCCTCAGAGCTCAGCCTCCAGAGTAGCTAGGATTACAGGCGTGAGCCATGGTGCCCGGCTTAAAAAAACAATTTTGATGTAACTGCTTATTCCAGTTAAGGAAACACCTATACCATAGGAAGGGAGGAGGTTTAGAGGTAAGAAGATGTTAAAAAGAACTTACAGCAAGGCAGTGTTGGCTCACACCAACTCCTAGATACTCAGGAAATCTGAAAAGTAAGGTTCAAAGCCAGCCTGGGCAGAAAGGTCTGTACAATTATTATTTTTATTTTTATTGCCAGTTCTGAGGCTTGAACTCAGGGCTGGGTGTCGGTGAGCTGCTTTTGCTCAAGGTTAGCACTCTGCCAATTAAGCCACAGTGTCACTTCAGGCTTTTCCTGTTTATGTGGTACTGAGGAATTGAACCCAGGACTTCATGCATGCTAAGCAGGCACTCTACCATTAAGCCACATTCCCAGTGCTATGAGATTCTTATCTCCACTAAACTACAAAAAAAAAGAAAGCTGGAAGTGGAGCTGTAAATGAAGCTCAAGCACAGTGCCCAAGCCCTGAATACAAACACCAAGACCTTCCCCCCACCCTCCTCCCCCCCCAAAAAATAATTGTGGTGCTAGGCACCAGTGGCTCACACCTGTAATCCTAACTCTTCTGGAGGCTGAGATCTAAGGACTACAGTTTGAAGCTAGCCCAGGCAGGAAAGTCTGTGAGACTCTTATCTTCAGTTTAGATTATTGGCTCAAGTGGTAGTACACCAGCCTTAAGTCTAAAAGACTCAAGGACAGCATCCAGGCTGAGTTCAAGCTCTAGGACTGGCACAAAGCACACCTCATGGCAATGCCATGATATGCCATGATATGCCATGGATATAGATCCAAATGTAGTAATCTGTAATCCCACCTACTTGAGAGGCTGAGGCAAGATGGTCTTCCAAGTAGGGGTTTGACACCAACCTCAAAAGTAAAAAAAGAAAGAAAAGAAAAAATCTGTTTACTCATTATTATTTCCTTGGCATAAATTGCAAGATATCTGATTTTTGTTGTTGTTGTTGTTTGGTAGTTAGGAAGGTTGAAATTCGGGGCCTTGCACTTTCCAGGCTTGCTTGCTTGGTTCCCAAAGCTAGCACTCTACCTCTTGAGCCATATCCCTAACCCATGTTTTTCATTTTCAGTCTTGTTTTTGGTCTTGACTCTCTTTGCTCTTATTGTATTGATTTGAAATATAGAATGGGGGCTGGGAATGTGACTTAATGGTAGAGTGCTTGCCTAGAATGCATGAAGCCCTGGGTTTGATTCCTCAGTACCACAGAAACAGAAAAAGCTGGAAATGGTGATGTGGCAAGTGGTAGAGTGCTAGATTTGAGTAAAAAGAAGCTGAGGGACAGAGTCCAGGCTCAGAGTTCAAGCCCCAGGACTGGCGAAAGGAAGGAAAGAAGACAGGAAGGCAGGAAGGCAGTTAGGAAGAAAGGAAGGAAGGAAGGAAAGAAGGAAAGGAAGGAAGGAAGGAAGGAAGGAAGGAAGGAAGGAAGGAAGGAAGGAAGGAAGGAAGGACTCCTGATTGCTGTTATCTTTCTACCCTATTTGAACTTGTTCTTTTGGTTTTTTTTTTTTTGGGGGGGGGGGACTTTCAGCCATTCCCCCACCCTTTTTTAAATTGTTTGTGATACAGAGTTTTGCTGATAGATTATAACTGACTTGGCCTGGACTGGCCTGAAATATGATTTATCTGCTTCAGCCTTTGAAATAGCTGGGATTATGGGTTTACACACTACCCCCAACTTCATTCTCTTTCAACAGACTTAGACTGCCCACCTGCCCTTTTACTGTCTGACTATAATTAATCTTGGTATGAGGTAGGGGAGCTATATGAATTTACATTGTTTTTCCCACTAGGCTTCATTTATGAAACACCTTGAAATTTAAAAACTTCATGAGGCTTCCTGTCCTTTTTAATTTTTTAAAATATATTTGTTGGTCATGGGGCTTGAACTCAGGGTCTGAGTGCTGTCCCTGAGTTGTTTAAGGCTAGTGCTCTTTCACTTTGAGCCACAGTTCCACTTCCAGTTTTCTGATGATTAAGTCAAGCTCTTCAGCTTAAGGACAGCCCCCAGGACAATAATTCAAGCCCATGACTAACAAAAAAAAGTAGGTCCCTGTAGTCTTTGGCTGGTGGGTATTGATAATGGGAAATCCACATATAAATATCACAAACTTGGTCTGTGTGTGTCTATGTATATAGACTCAATGATAGAATGCTTAAAAATACAGCGCTCCCTTTGAAAATCTAATGAAAATTAAGGACCACCTCCATAATCCTTCCCAGAAAATGTATGTACAGTACAAATTGTACAATTTTAGGAAAGGTTCAAAGGACTCAAGCCAAGAATGCCTCCTCTCCTGAATAGTAGTATAACAACCTCAATAATCCCTAGTATATGAATGATTCCTAAAACCACATAATTCAATCTTTACTTTCCCCCAAATGTCAACTAATTGATAGAAAACATAAAATGGAATTCACCTTCTCTTTCAATCTGCTCCTTAATATTCACCTTAGCACCTTTCCAACCACCCAGGCTCAAGGTATCATTATCAATTTTTAACAAAAGATTAAATCTGAGCATATCATCACCTACAGATTCTACCTTAAGATGTCTTTTCTTTTTGTCGGTCGTGGGGCCTGAACTCTGAGCCTGGGCGCTGTTCCTCAGCTCTTCAGCTCAAGACTAGCGCTCTACCACTTGAGCCACAGCACCACTTCCAGCTTTTTCTGCTGATGTGGTGCTGAGGAATCGAACCCAGGGCCTCATGCATGCAAGGCAAGCACTCTACCACTGAGCCACCTTCCTAGCCCCCTCTAAGATGTCTTGTACCTCTCTCCTCCTCACCCTCTCCCTGACACTGTCCTGGTTTGGTCTCTCATTACCTCTTATGATATACTATGGCACTAGCCTCCTCTAATAGCTTGCCATGGATCATTACTCCAACCATGTATCTCTCTACTGATCCTTATTGTTTTTGTTATTGTTTTCCAATCATCCAGAATACAACAGTTAGATACTCAAAGGTTTTTATAACCTGATCCATTCCAAGTCTCCTCTAGACACCCATAACTTGTTGTAATCTCATTATCTTTAGAAATGGTCAGAACTTTAGATATACTAGATCGTGTTACTAGTATTTTATAGAAACCAAAACAAAGGCACAAATAGAGAATTATTTGTCAAATGTCACAAAGCTTGGAGGAAAGCACTGTTCTTGGTTCCTTGCTTTGGTGGGAAGCTAGACAAAGAGAAACAAATATTATTATACTATTAAAAAGAGGCAGAAAGTAAAAGTAAATTATTACTTAACATGTTCACCTACAAAATAGTGCACTAAGTTAAAAAAAAAAACAGGATCCTGATGAATAAATTCAGGTTGCAATCCAGGAATATTTTCTGGACAAAAACAACTGTGCAGGGGCTAGGAAGATGGCTCAGTGGTAGAACGCTTGCCTTGCATGCATGAGGCCCTGGGTTCGATTCTTCAACACCACATAAGCAAAAAGAAAAAAGTCGAAAGTGGTGCTGTGGCTCAAGTGGTAGAGCTCTAGCCTTGAGCTGAAGAGCTGAGGGGCAGCACCCAGGCCCAGAGTTCAGGCCCCACGACCAGACCCCAAAAAAATTAAAACAAAAAACAAACAAACTACTGTGCATGTATGGAGAGTGAAATGAAAACTTTCAGATGTTTTTCTACTCCAAGTGACAATGACAGTTCTCTTAAATCATGAATATTCAGGATGAGACTAAGAAAAAGGAAGTTTTATGAAGTCTTGCTCTTCCTACTTAGTTTTGAAAGGCTTTTTGTATTAAGACAAGCCACCTCAGCAGAAGAGGAAGTGAAAATTTGGGCAAAACCACCATTTTATTTCTTACCCCAAAACTGTTTAAGTCCTTTATAAATATACTCAAATTTGTTTTTTGTTTTGAGACAGGTCTAGGTAGCCAGGCTGGCCTCAGTTTCATGATCCTCTTGCCTCAGTCTCCAGTTCTAGGATAACAGGTAGGTATCACCACTCCTGGCTATGATTTTCCTGATATAATCTCTCTTTCAATTGGCTCCAGATGTCTTCTGGTCAAGGGTCAAATTGTTCAGCCATTATGACATTATCTTTTCACAGAGTGAAGTCCTGCCTTTTTTCACTTGCCACTCCTGTGACATCAGACTATTTGTATCTGTCTGTTCCAATCACATCCACTATTTAAATAGTGCATATAACTGTGATAGTGCATGGACAAATTTTTCCCTTCATTACATATGTAAATTATTCTCTTTAAAATTAGTTCTAACTTGCATGTCATAAATACAAGTCTTCTCTCTTCTGAATCCTTTTTACAAGGCTACTTTACAAAAAGCAAATGATCACACCCTCAAATATGTCACCAAATATTTCCTGTCTTCCTTCTTTTTTTTTGGTCGGTCATGGGGCTTGAACTCTGGGCCTGGGCGCTGTCCTTCAGCTCTTCAGCTCAAGGCAAGCGCTCTACCACTTGAGCTACAGCGCCACTTCCGGTTTTCTGGTGGTTTATTGGAGATAGGAGTCTCACGGTCTCTCCTGCCCGGGCTGGCTTTGAAGCACGATCCTCAGATCTCAGCCTCCTGAGTAGCTAGGATTACAGGCGTGAGCCACCAGCGCCCGGCTCCCTTTCTTTTTTTTGTCAGTTGTGGGGCCTGAACTCTGGGCCTGAGTGCTGTCCCCGAGCTCTTTAGCTCAAGGCTAGCACTCTACCACTTGAGCCACAGCATCACTTCCTGCTTTTTTCTGCTTATGTGGTGCTGAGGAATCGTATCCAGAGCCTCATGCATGCAAGGCAAGCACTCTACCACTGAGCCACCTTTCCAGTCCTTTCCTGCCTTCCTTATGGGAAACAAACAGTTCATGACCTATACATCTTTAGATTCCATTACAGAGAAAAAGAATATTTTTAGCCAAGTGTTGAATAATTTTTCTTTGAGGTTTCTTACTTTAAAAGCAGCATTAAAAAAAAGGCCAGGTGCTGGTGACTCACACCTATAATCCAAGCTAGTCAGGAGGCTGAGATCTGAGGATCACAGTTCAAAGCCAGCCCAGGCAGGAAAAGTCCATCAGACTCACCTCCAATAAACCACAAGAAAACTGGAAGTGGTGCTGTGGCTCTAGTGGTAGAGCGCTAGCCTTGAGCTGAAGAGCTGAGGGACAGCACCCAAGCCCAGAGTTCAAGCCCCACAACCAACCCCCCCCCCAAAAAAAGGAGGCCACAGCTGAGGGTGTGGCTCAAGTAATAGAACACTTCCCTAGCAAGTGCAAAGCCCCGAGTTCAAATCTCTAGTAACACTAAAACACACACACACACACACACACACACACACACACACACACACACACACACACAACCAAAAAAAAAAAAAATCCCACAAGTAGCAGTAGCATTTACAAAGAATTAGGGGCCTAAAGAAATATACTCTTTAGCAGAAGAGAATGGAAAGGAGAGTAAGCCAACTCCTTCACAAAATAAACTGAAGAGGCTGGGAAGGTGGCTCAGTGGTAGAGTGCTTGCCTTGCATGCATGAGGCCCTGGGTTCGATTCCTCAGCACCACATAAGCAAAAAGAAAAAAGCCAGAAGTGGCGCCGTGGCTCAAGTGGTAGAGTGCTAGCCTTGAGCTAAAGAGCTGAGGGAGAGTTGCCAGGCCCAGAGTTCAGGCCCCACGACCGGACCCCCAAAAAAAAATTTTTTTTAATAAAATAAAAAAATAAACTGAAGAGGAAAACAAGCAGTGAAAGATTTTAGAGCACGTAGAGCCATTACATCCAAGACCTGGGAGTAAGTTCTCTAAATCCCAAACACTTACCGTATTGCATTTTGTGCCACACACCACTTGCCTATGATTCAACCATTGAGAAGCAAACACTTTATTAAGGGTCCCAAGATGAAATTCTTTCTCCTTCAGTAGACTGGGAAGCTGTTGTGCTGCATAACCATGCAAGACTCGAGAATAGTTGGTTTCATTCTGTAGCCTGACTTCCCGGTTCTTCAAGTAGTATACTAAGGATCTCTTCACTGGGGGGAGTCTTTTCCTTTTGTGAAGGGAGTGATCCCAGCCAAACTGTGGAAACAAACATTAGAAATCAGGGCTTTGGCTATCTTTCTTCAGAACAAGAACTTCTACTGTACTACACACAAGTAACCAAGAACTCATCTGGTAGGATTTGCATTTAACAGAAATAGAATCTAATCCAGAAAGTCCAGTTTAACTCTTCCTGCATTGAAATAATTTTGCTCATAGTTAAACCTACATACTTAAAGGTTTATTAGCGTGAAGGGCACAGACACCCTGTACGTATCAAGGGAGTAAGAGGCCTAGTGATTCCCAGCTGCACCTGGGCTGCATCTCTACCCAGCCCTCTTCTCCTGTTCAGCCTGTCCTCCCAGAAGAGCGCAGTATAACTCAAAAAGCCAGACTGTGGTCCTGGGTCTTACAGGGATACCATCGATAGCTGCCCCTCAGTTATGCAGTTGTAGAATTAGAAAAACACCCATAAGGATAGAGGAGCATGGGAAATCAGTGCTATTCCAAGAAGGCCTTTCTCTCCAAAGGGTAAAGGAAAAACATCCTGTAATCGTTTTAATGGTCCAAGTCCACCCTTGTCTTGTCCAAGGCCAACCTCAAGGCTTGGGTACCCAGAGGTAGGTAGAGTTGCTTCGGGCCGAGTGCTGCTCCTTTCCTCACTCCCAAAAGTCAGTTCTGTGAGGTTGGTTTCACTCCAGATTCTCCTCGACTTCGACTCCCCTTCCTCCCCAGTAAAAACTCTTGGGTTTGTTCTCTGCTCCACAGGCCTCTCGAGGAAGGACCCCATTTCTGAGTTCCTCTTTGGCTCCTCCGGCCTATCTGCACTCCAAGGAACTCAAGAAGGACCAGCCACGACTCTACAAGGGCAAGCAGCCCTGGTTCTGTCCCACCACTCACTTACAGCCCTAGTACCCACATCCGAGGAGCCTTAACCCCAGGCAGGCTCCCCGCCTTACCACCCCGGACCTCGGCCTCCAACCCCTCACCTGCGGACCCTGAGCGTCGCTCCCAGCTCCTGGCGAGGCAGGCGCTTTCCGTTTCCTGCTAACTGCTTTCCGGGCCATAGTGGGCAGCGCCGCGGCGACCCCGCAGCCACATGGGGCGGGAGGTGTAAGGGGTAGCCGGACGGTGGGTCATGCACCGCGCCCCGGGGCCGCGCGCTTCAAGGCGCCCCGGCCCGGAAAAATGATCCGGACCCCGGAGGTGTCGGTGAAAGAACGAAAGGTAGACGGAAGGGAAGGAAGGAGGGAGGGAGGGTCGGGGAAGGGAAGGGGAAAAGGGAAAGGGGAAGGTAGGAAGCAGAAGGTTTCCGACAGAGATGTCGGTCTGGGGAAGACGGCGAGCGGCAAGAACCAAAACACCCCCTCCACCCCCCTGGCCCGCGCTCCGTCACCCCTGCGCAGCCGCATTTCGCAGCGCGTCGCTACGGGAGACCCCGCCTAGGCGAGAGGGGCGGGATTTAGGGCGGGGAGGTGAAATGGAGGCTGTTTGCCTCGCGGTCGACAGTCCGCTTCTAACCGCCCGTTGACGGCCGGCCGCTGAGGGGTGCCGGGGGGTCCGCCGAGCTTCCATCTAAAGAATCTGGATGCTGACCGCTGACCTTCGACCCCTGACCCCAGCTCGTCCATCCGCCGGCACCCGGAAATGAAAACTAGCTGCGCCGCTGGGCGAGGGCATGCCCGCTGGCGCTCTTTGTCCCCTCGCCACGGCTTCCTGTCTAGTTCTGCCCTGTTGCCTTCGTAGTTGATGGGCCTGGCTCCGAGAACTGGACGCTGGAGAGGCAGGACCTCCGTCCCCACATCGAGGTGAAATCTAGCTCCGAAGCACGCCCAGACCTTCCCATGCCGGTCGCCACCAGCTCGGGCCTCGGCGGGGGCCCGGGGCCGCCCCCTCCCCAGCCCTCCGCCCCCTCCCCACTCGACCTCCGGACTCGGGCTTACTACCGGTCGCCCGGCTCCCAGTGACATTCCCACGACGTGCTATCAGGGCCATCCTTACTGGTTTTTTGTTTTTGTTTGGGTTTTTTTTTTTTTTTAAAGTTAAGCCTTAGGCTGTGAGTTGTCTGTCACTGCCCGCCTAAGTCCGGGTTCTCAAGGTCTGTCATTGAAGAAGGATGATATTCCAAACCACAGGAAAGAGAGTGGCCATCTTTTGGCTTGTCAGTCCAACTTGGACTGGCATTGGTCACCAATGGAGGTTTTCAGGATCACCTCTGCCCCCATTTTCGGAAGATCCTGAAAGAAATATATGAGTACCAGCCTCCAACTTTCCTCTGGCAGAGAATTCTTGGAAGAAACAGGATGCACTTGTTTGAGACCAAGACCTCAGGCTGAGGTATACCCAGTTACCTGCTGGTCCCTTCAGGCTTCAGGCCTCATACCTCCATGGAGCTGTGTTGGCCCATCTGAAGTCCTGCCCACAAGAAGATTTGGTTTTGTTTTCCAAGCTGAACCAAATACCAGATTGAAACAGGGTCCTCCACCACCATCCCAAGTCATCACTGCCACTAACCCCTAATACCATCTTGGGAAAGTCATCTCTGTCTTTCTTGGTCAGGCCTATCCCTTCAGAGACGTACATACAGTGAATGGATCAGGAGTGGGTCAGTTTCCTTTTTCAGTTCTGTTCTGGTTCTGTCTTGCCTCACAATGCTCAAGAGCGCATTGGACAAGAGCCTGGAATTCTTTGAGAATCTCTAGGTTCCCCTCAGCCCCTACCAGAGGGGCACACTGGACATGGATGCAAGCCCGTTCTTAAAGTTTGTTTTGTTTTGTTTTTACACTTCATCTTTACATCCTAGGAACCATCCCCAAATCAACCTTGCAGTAGAGGATTACTATATCTGTGGAAGTAAAATTGAGTGAAGTCTGGAAGTTTAAAAATTCATAATCACAGCCAGGTGCCGGTGGTTCAAGCCTATAATTCTAGCTACTCAGTAGGCTAAGATCTGAGGTTCACAGTTTGTTTGTTTTTTTTGTTTGTTTGTTTGTTTTTGGGTCCGGTCGTGGGGCCTGAACTCTGGGCCTGGGCACTGTCCCTCAGCTCTTCAGCTAAAGGCTAGCGCTCTACCACTTGAGCCACAGCGCCACTTCCGGCTTCTTTCTTTTTGCTTATGTGGTGCTGAGGAATCGAACCCCAGGGCCTCAGGCATGCACGGCAAACACTCTACCACTGAGCTACCTTCCCAGCCCCTGAGGTTCACAGTTTGAAGCCAGCCCAGGCAGAAAAGCCCAAGAGTTTCTTATCTCCAACAATTCAGAAAAAGCCGGAAGTAGTGCTGGGACACAAATGGTCGAGTACTAGCCTTGAGTACAAGGAGGCTTGGGGATAGCACCCAATTCCTGAGTTCAACCCCCATGACTGGAAAAAAAAATGGGGTTGGGACTGTAGCTTAGTGGTTGAGTGCTTACCTAGGATGCATGAAGCCCTAGGTTCAAGTCCTCAGTACAGAAATAAAAAAAGAAGTACCGCTATGGCTGAATTGGTAGAGTGCTAGCCTTGAGCAAAAGAAGCTCAGGGACAATGCCCACGTCCTGAGTTCTGAGTTCAAGCTCCAGAACTACCAAAATAAAAATTAAGCTTATTATTTTTTTTTGAAGTGAGGTATCAAACGCAGGGTCTAATATAACACCCCTTGAATTATGCCCCCACCCCTGTAATTATTGGGTCTTGTTTTGTTGTTGTTGTTTGTTTTTTCTCAGTTGTGGGGCTTGGACTCTGGGTCTAGGCGCTGTCCCTCAGTTCTTCAGCTCAAGTGAGTGCTCTACCACTTGTGCCACAGCACCACAGCACCACTTCTGGTTTTCTGGTGGTTATTTGGAGATAAGAGTCTCATGGACTTTCCTGCCTGGGCTGGCTTTGAACCATGATCCTCAGATCTCAGCCTCCTGAGTAGCTAGGATTTCAGGTGTGACCACTGATGCCTGGCTCCATAATTGTTTTAATTTTATTTTTTATTTTTTTGGGTCCGGTCGTGGGGCCTGAACTCTGGGCCTGGGCGCTGTCCCTCAGCTCTTCAGCTCAAGGCTAGAGCTCTACCACTTGAGCCTCAGCGCCACTTCTGGTTTTCTGGTGGTTTATTGGAGATAAGAGTCTCAGATTTTTCTGACCATGCTGGCTTTGAACTGCAAACCTCAGATTTCAGCCTCCGCATAGTTAAGATTACAGGAATAAGCCATCAGCGCCAGGCTTTTCTGGTCTTTTTAAAAAACAAATATACTTGTATATACAAACAAGTATTTCATACTTAGTATCAATCTTTTAAAAACAGTTATGGAGCTGGCTCATGCCTGTAATCTTAGCTACTCAGTAGGCTGGGATCTGAGGATTGAAGTTCAAAGCCATCCCAGCCACGAGAGTCCTTCAGACTCTTATCTCCAGTAAAGCACCAGGAAACCGGAAGTGGCGCTGTGGCTCAAGTGATAAAGCCCAGGGTTCAAGCCCCACAATCGACAAGAAAAAAAAAGACAAGTAAGAAGTTCTAGTTGAGGTCTGGGAAGGTGGTTCAGTGGTAGAATACTTGCCTTGCATGCATGAAGCCCTGGGTTCAACTTCTCAGCACCACATAAGCAGAAAAAGCTGGAAGTGTCACAGTAGTTCAAGCGGTAGAGCACTAGCCTTAAGCAGAAGTGCTCAGGGATAGAGTTCAGGCCTATGACCGCACACACACAAAAATGTTCTAGTTGAGACTAGAACTCTCAACTTTGTGAATGGGTATACAACTGGTATAACTAATTGAAAAGAATCTGTGGTAGTTACTTACTAAAACAATATATAGGGCTGGGAAGTTGGCTCAGTGGTAAAGTCCTTGCCTTGCATGCATGAAGCGCTGGGCTCGATTCCTCAGTACCACATAAGCAGAAAAAGTCGGAAGTGGCTTTGTGGCTCAAGTGGTAAGGTGCTAGCCTTGAGCTGAAGAGCTGATGGACAGTGCCCAGGCCCAGGGTTCAGCTCCCATGACTGGAAAAAAAAATGTGTATATATATATATAAATGTCCCCTCTTTTTTTTTCAGTATTTGGGATTGAATCTAGGGCCTCATACATACATCCTAAGCAAGTGTTCTATCACTGAACTATACCCTTACCCTAAATGTTTACCCTTCAATCTATCAATTCTTTTATTTATTTATTTATTCATTTATTTTTTTGGTCAGTCGTGGGGCCTGAACTCTGGGCCTGGGCACTGTCCCTCAGGTCTTCAGCTCAAGGCTAGCACTTTACCACTTGAGCCACAGCGTCACTTCTGGCTTGTTCTTATGTGGTGCTGAGGAATCAAACTCAGGGCCTCATGCATGTGAGGCAAACACACTACCACTAAGCCACCTTCCCAGCCCTGGATCTATCAGTTCTACTTCTGGGTTACAAACCCAACAGAAATTCATGAGTCCACCAAAAACTATGAGAAGAAGAATAGCAGCTCTATACATAATGAAATAGGGATATTGGATCTAAGTAACTCCATTTTGGCATCTTAATAGAAGATGAGGAACTTTCTGAGAACTCTAGAGGTAACAGAGGACATCTTTGGATTGCAGATACGTCCTGAATTGTTAAGCTCTAGGAAAGTCTTGCTGGGGTCCTGAGGAAATAAGGAGACTGGGTCTAACCAGCACTATCTTGACCATGTGGTGGATGATAGGGAATTGGTTTTAACTAGCACTATCTCGTCTTCATGGTAGAGGCAGGGAAATTCACCCCCAGGAGATAGGTGTGCCTGAATTCCTAGAGATTGGGGTGGGGACTAGGATGATAGGTTATTGGACCTGTCACTCCTGTGCCTCCAACTCAAGAAACTCTCAAGTTTCCTATGACCCTGACCCCTGACCCTGACACACTATTTAGACTTGGACCAGCTCAGGTGCCATTATGTCATACCTCATGTCCTGTGTCTCCTGTTTCCTGGCTTTCCTCTGGTCACCATGGTGTCCCACTTCCGCTTTCTTCTGGAGTTAATCTGGTTTGTTGGTATTGTTTTTCTGCTCTTTGCTCTTACTCCTGTCAAGGCTCAGTTTTCTTTTTTTCTTTTGTCGGTCATGGGGCTTGAACTCTGGGCCTGGGTGCTATCCCTCAGCTCTTCAGCTCAAGGCTAGCACTCTACCACTTGAACCACAGTGCCACTTCTGGTTTTCTGAGTGGTTTATTGTAGATAAGAGTCTCACAGACTTTTCCTGCTCAGGCTGGCTTTGAACCGTGATCCTCAGATCTCAGCCTCCTGATCCTGAGTGGCTAGGATTACAGGTGTGAGCTACCGGCACTCAACCATGGCTCAGTTTTCTAATAGTGTTGAGTGTATTCAAGGAGCTACTGGTCTTTGAAGCCTGCAGCCATTGGCTCTCCAATAAAGACTCCCAATTTGACCTCTCAAAATGTGGCTTCTCTG